CTCCTCTCTCTCTCTCTCTCTCTCTCTCTCTCTCTCTCTCTCTCTCTCTCTCTCTCTGTGCCTTCGAACACCGCGGAGGCCATGGAGGAGAGCGTCAGATCCCCCTCCCGTTTTCCCACTTTCCCCACGCTCAGACCTGGTTACGTTAATGAGCACACGCCCTTGCTTACTAGTTAAATTTGCCGTCAGGGGTGACGTATCGTTTTGCCAGTAGCGGTGAGCCCCCTCCCCCCGGCCCGGTGCCCGGCCCGGTGCCCGGCCCGCATCCAATATGTGAATACATCATCGGGACATCAGCGGCCGTTTACATATCGGTGTTATTCTTGTTTTCCTCTCTCGACGGCCGCCTCGTTATCCCCTCCCTGCTAAACAGGCACCACCACGCCGGGGAGCGTGCATTTTATTTTTGTGTGTTGCTTCACTTTCCGCCAGCCTCGGTGAATATGGTAATACTTTTAAGCGTGCAAAACGCGCCTTTTCCACGAAAAAGGAACGTTATGCTTGTCAGACCTAATGCGGGCGGGCGCTTCAGCTCGGGGGCCCCATCCTATTGGAATTGAAAGTCACTTAGTACCTCTTGCAGTGTTCTACAAATTAATTGCATTCTCTGCTGACTTTTATAAAATCAGTATGAAAGTGGGATGTTTTACTTGATTAACGTTTTCTTTATTTTAGTAGCGCATTGATGACAAGGAGACATAGGCAAGCGTTCATTCCCGACTTTGCCTAAGCTCGGTATCTGCAACACTGCAAAGTTCTTGGGGAAAAAAAGGTTTCATTTCAAACGATTTTCTTTGCAGCTTGCAAAGAAATTTAAAGCATTGTGATGTGAACCAGTTCTTTTCAAGCTTGAAAACGATATCCCTGCAATGCACGAACGCACAATCTGCAAGGAATCTCACAGCCTTGCAAAGAATTTCTTAACTTATTCTTGGAATTATACAAAGATCGAAATTTCTTCCCGAGCTTTTTAGTTTGCTAGCATTTTACATTGTGTATTTGCTTCTTCTCCAAATTTCGAGTTTGGCAAAATCGGGAACTAGCTCTTTCTCTTAGTCTCCTGCTTGTGAGTAAGATAGCAATTCGGGTCTGTGCACGGCGGGGAGGAGTTCCCTCGGCTCTGGCAGGCGGATGTGCACCTTGTGCGCGTTCCGGAGAGATGCGATCCGCGCAGCGCACAGGAGCCCTCGGGGGCGAGAGGAGAGGGGTTTGTTTGAGCCAATGCTGGCAGGCGCACTGTAACCGGGTGGGGTGCTCTGTAACCGCAGGCGAGAATACGGCGAGAGGTTTAGCGGCGGCGAGGGAAAGGGGGCTGGGGCGGAGGTAGACTAGACGAAGGCTCCTAGCAAGCAATGCCAGCACGCCCGGCTCAGATATGATGAGATTTGCCGTCGGGTGGGAAACGTTCGGCCGGTGGCTGGCTGTGTCTCCTCGCCACCGTGGTGCAATCCCACAGTGAACTGAACTATGTGCGTGTGTTTGTATCGTTTTTCACTAAATTGCGTAATTTTAAACTTCGCGTACCGTACTGAAATACCTTTTACTGCACTCTCACCCTGTCACTGATTTTTTTGCCCCTGTTTCAGTATTCCTGCTGATTAAAAAACATTATAAGGGCTACTTTGAAAAATTTGTCATCACCAATACGAAATAATTTTCCTTTTACACTACTGATAACTTCTTCTGTTATCAGTATAAGTTAATTTTAAAAAATCTTAACGTTAGTTAACAAATAACTCAGAAGTTCCTGCTGCATGATGAGAAATAATAAATCAGAACAGGTCTGGGAGAGGAGTGCCCAACTGTGGTAATCAGGTGTACACAAATGTGTTAATTTTGCACATCTTGCAAAAATATTGCTGAAAAAATAGCTGCTTCGATTAGAACGTAGGCGAATAATACCTTGTGTTCATTGGTAATCATCGTAATTCTCGTACATGGTAATCTTTACAATTTGGTAAACCAGTGTACACATTTTCATGGAGTTAGGCAGAGTTTGCCTAAAATGTAGGCAATGTCGTCTTTTTATTTAAAAAAAAACGTTATAACGTTTCATTCTTAGCTTGTGCTTGGTTACTCCGACGCAATCGAGCGTGGAGTAAACGAGTTGTGCGTGCGAGATAACTGTGTCGTACAATAAGAATGCTTCCAGCGCCTCCAGGCTAACCGCTAACTCTCTCGTGTTTCAGGGACGTGAAACCTGACAATATTCTGCTGGATGAGGAGGGTGAGTATCTTAGCGTATCGGTGCTGCCGCACTGACTGGTGTACGAGCCTTCACGACAACTGTCTCTTATTTCTGCCTTGAAATGAATAAAAATATTTTTAATAAAGATTTTTCTAAAACATATATGTTTGGACATATATTTTTTGGAAAACAAATCTGGAAAATGTTAGAAGTTTCAGCAGGCTTGGTATAAACCTAACGAGAACGAGTACTTTTCGATGTTCCAATATGGAATTTTAACGCTACAATGTGTTTGGCACAGTATAGTCAGTCCTCCTCAGACACACGCGCGCGCCGCAGCACGACGCGGCGAGCGTCTTACGCAGTGCCTCCCTCCTAAACCCCAAACCGCTTTCCCACGCCGTCGGCACAGAGACTCCTGCGGAACAGACTCGGCTTGAAACGCATCCGCGCCGCCGTGCGGTGGATGAGGTGGGG